GGCAGCATTTGAGGAGGAAAAAGTAGAACTGTCCTACCCACTTTTCCAGGTACTTTACTCCTATTGAGCTTTGTTCAAAGTGCGCCTTAGCCTACTTAGATTCGTTTTGTATGGAGATGTTGCAGAAAAATGAGCTAGGTCAGAGCCCGAATCTGGGTTAGCTATAAATGCGACACAGAATTGTCAGCTGTGTGAAATGGTGCTGCAGCTCAAACACCGTTATCCCACACATCAGTGCAAGGAAGCTCAAGCTGAAATGTGAAAATATTCTCAGCAAGGGGGCTCAAGAAACTGGGAAAGGCCACCAGAGGAGGCCTTTGGGAGGGAGGGCCAGCTCGGAGGAATTCTGGGTATCTTCCCAGGGGCTCTTCATGGTTTGGGAAGACCTTAGGTTAGTAACTCCCCATCTGCCACACAGAATAAACCATATGTGGCACAACCTAGCTTCTGAAGAGGGCTGAAATCACATGAAAAGCTTTTTTGTAGCTTTCCAGTGGGGCACTCCAGAGTCACCAAATAAGTCTCTCTTCTCCCTTGCCCTTGTAATACTTTTTGTATTGCCTGTAATATGCAAAGGACAGTATAAAATGGATGGAAAGGTATTCAGACAAGCTTAGGAGGAAAAAGGGCCAAGTGCTATCCACAAAGTCTGTTATTCCAGTGGCTACCAAAGGGCAGCTTAGCCAGCATCAGAATCTCCTGGGATGTTATGAAAAAACAGACTTGGGCCCCACTGAGGGGTGGAAGTTTCAGGAAATAAGTCTGGAGAAGAAAATGGGCCCCTGTGCTGTGTGTTTGTTTTTTTTTTAAAGATTTATTTATTTATTTATTTATTTGCGAGAGAGAGAGAGAGAGAGAGAGAGAGAGAGAGAACACGAGATGGGGGAGGATCAGAGGGAGAAGCAGACTCCCCACTGAGCAGGGAGCCCGATGCGGGACTCGATCCCGAGACTCCAGGATCATGACCTGAGCCGAAGGCAGTCGCTTAACCGACTGAGCCACCCAGGCGCCCCCAGAGTTAGCCTTTTAAGAAAAAATTTCTTCTAGCATTTATCATTGTAGTTACTAGTTGGATTTTACAGCTATGTTTACTGAGTTGGCAATTTTGGCATTATTTCTTGACTTTGTGTTATGGACAATGAAGAATTAGTTCCAGTTATACAACCCATCCCAACCACACACACACATTTCCCATCTTTCCATTGTCTGAATATGGTTGCATCACAATTTTTGGTTAAATCTCTTTGCTGACTGCTAATTCCTTCTCCATTTGTCCTTGACTCTTTTTTTTAAAGATTTTATTTATTTATTTGAGACAGAGAGAATGAGAGAGAGAGAGAGCATGAGAGGGGGGAGGGTCAGAGGGAAAGCAGACTCCCCGCCGAGCAGGGAGCCCGATGCGGGACTCGATCCCGGGACTCCAGGATCATGACCTGAGCCGAAGGCAGTCGCTTAACCAACTGAGCCACCCAGGCGCCCTGCTTTTTGTTTTTATTTTTTAATTTAATTTAATTAATTTATTTATTTTTAAAGATTTATTTATTTATTTGAGAGAGCGAGAATGAGAGAGAGAGTACATGAGAGGGAGGAGGGTCAGAGGGAGAAGCAGACTCCCTGCCGAGCAGGGAGCCCGATGCGGGACTCGATCCCGGGACTCCAGGATCACGACCTGAGCCGAAGGCAGTCGCCCAACCGACTGAGCCACGCAGGCGCCCTGTGTGTTTGTTTTCGAACTTCCCGCCTTGTTCTCAGGGACGGCCTGGTCTGGGAACCGCGATTTGGAGCCACTCCCAGGAAGGATACAGTTCTCTGATTTCTTACCGAGATCCGGCTTGCCTGTGTAGAGCTTCTCATAGAGAAAGGTGTGGTCTCGGAAGCTCTGCAGTGTGTTCCCTATGGCGATGATGGACACCATAACCAGCCAGCTTCGTAACACGTTCAGGAAACGGCTCATGACTTCCCTCCAACCTGAGACGGTTTTTGCCTTGGGAACAAAGGCCAAAAACAGGAGACAGCAGTTAGCTTACTTCAACCGTAAGCTCTCTGACTTGGGTGGTTAACTTGTGTCCCACTCCCGAGGGCTATACTAAGCTTATCTGGGCAATCCCTTCATGAATTCCTTTCCAAGTCCCTGAAGTTGGCCCACCTTCAGTTATCTTAACGTACTATTCTTTCTTCACAGGGTTAGCACACTGCCTGGATATTTGCCCTAAACCAAAGGGTGCTAACATTTACCTAGAGTGAAAAAGGCTAAAGAATGCAGTGGCTAGAAAAGGAAAAGCCAGCCAAAAATAATGGAGAAAAAAAGGGAACAAAGAGAAGGTGTATGAATATTACAATCAGGTAATAAAATGGACTTCTGTGTAAGACTTAGAGAAATTGGTCTTGATATTTAGTCACACTAGTAGTGGTGAATCAACAGTATACTTTGGCATAATACTTATTTTTCTCTAAGCAACTTGTCCACAATGGTAGCCTAAATCAGAACCCTTTTCTCTTGGCTGGAATCAGTACTTTAATATCTTTACTTCCAGCCTAGTTTTTTTTTATGTCATTCCCTTGTGATCCAAGTGGCTCAAGGTGACTGTAAATCTACTAACAGATACTTGCCTGGCTACTGATGACACTTTCAAGCCTTATACATTTGAGTGGAATCTATGGAGTGAGAGCAATATTTATACTCTCAGGTTTTCTCTACTCTGGTTCTCAAGAAATTCATGCTCCATAAACTAGAACAATATAAAAGTTAAAAGTAAATAAACTGCTGTGACTTGAGAAGTAGCATGAAAATTATGTGGAGAAGGAGCCAACAATGTTGGCATTGGGTTGCAAAAGAAATTACGATAGCTAACAGGTATCGGGCACTCGTACATGTCATGCACTATGCCAAGCACCTCACATAAATTATCTCATTTAATCCTTTAAACAAGGTGGATAGGCAATATTACTATTTCCACTTGACAGATGAGGGTTGGCACAGAGAAATTAAGTGATTTGCTTGAGGTTACACAGCTAACACATGGCGGAGCTGAGATACAAACGATGTTCTGCAATACTGTCCCACTGTCTGAGAATATTTTGATGAAGTTTCTATTTTTAAGGAAGACAAGCACACTATATCCACTTCTGTCTTGAAGTTGTATACAAAATACAATTACATTATGTACTTTTTGTTTTTAAAAAAGCTTAGGTGAACCCTTGAAGGGCAATGATTTCAATCAACTTGATTTTCTTAAAGATTTTACTTATTTATTTGAGAGAGAAAGAGAGAGAGAGAGAGGGCGGGAGAGGGAGAGGGAGAGGGAGAAGCAGACTCCCCACCGAGCACAGCCAGATGCGGGGCTCGATCCCAGGACCCTGAGATCAAGACCTGAGCTTAAGGCAGACACTTAACCAACTGAGCCACCCAGGGGCCCCTCAATCAATTTGATTTAAATAAAACTTATGTAGATAAAGGATTTAATAATAGAACTACTTCTTATCATCTTCACGTAGTGTTGTAGTTTGTTTTTTGGGTTTTTGTTTTTGGTTGTCTTTTGCTTTCCCCCACAGTATCTGTTGTCAGGTTGACTTCTTGGGCCTGAAGTGGTGATAAACCATCAGGCTTCCTTTGTCACTCCGACAGAAGTTTCAGTTTGGTCTTATGCTACCCAGCTGAAATAAATATTAAAGTTAGCCATGGCCTAAGACAGTGTGAAGCACTAAAAAGAAAACAAAACAAAACAACCAAAAAAGAGCTCTAGAGGAGGAAGCGGAATCCCTCGGGGAATGGTAGGTCACAACAATGGACTTCACTGAAGTCCAGAGAGAATAAGGCTTTACTGGAGATCAGAAGTGGTCAGGGCATGGGCCAAGACCCCCCCCCCCGCCCCCATCCTCCTTATTTTTCCCATTTCTCAATAAGTGACTCAGGCTTTCTCCTCCCAGAGTCAGAAAAGCCATATGGATGGCTCCCCTCTTTGAGAGAACTTATGCCCATTTCATGGAAGCTCTTAGAAATCCAACAGATAGCTGATGAGGGCAGAGCTTGAGCACTCTTCCTAACTGCTCTACCAAATCCCTCAACCCCATTTCCCTAAAGCTTTAGGGCCTCCTGAAGTATATAACATCTATTCTCAAATTTTGTCCTGGCCTGGCCCTGCAAAGGTGTTAAAACTAGTCAGGAGGGATGTTCCTATCCTTCCACAATCATTTTGTAGCTGTACGACCCTGGGTGAGAAATCTGCAAAATGGAGCTTTAAAAATACCTCTCTCAAGGGATACTGTGAGAATTACATGAGAAAGTGAAAAGGTTCCTTGCCCTGTGCTAGGCTCCTAGTGGCTGGTCGTTCGTTCATTCATTCATTGGTTCCCCGAACCTACCAAGCCTTCTTCATTTTCATAGTCCCAGCTCCCCGTTCTCAAGGTCTCTCAAGCCCCCTGTTCCCCCAAAAGGTTGCTTCCAGGGATCTTCCTTACCTCTCACCTCCATTTTTCCAGACTGTCCCTATCCTCTCAGATGCGACAAAAACGCCTCCCTCCCTCTTCTGCCCCACACTCTCCGTACCTGGCGACCGGACTCCCAGCACAGCGGCAGCGGCAGCGGCAGCAGCAAAGCCCCAAAGCAGATGCAGCGAGTAGTCCACCTGAGCCATTTGTCCTCGCCCCCGCCCACAGCCCGGCTCCAGGATTGGGTCTTCTCCGTCAGTCCTCGCTCGGATTGGCTGCTCCGGTTTTGCTCGAGCAGGAGATGGGGCGTGAACCCATTTACTGCCAATCAGTGGTTGCCGCTGCCCAAGCTTCACCCCGGGTACCGCCGCACACGCAGTGAACCCTCTTGTTGAGCGTGTCGGAAGAACTCCGGGGCTGGAGTCAACCCTTTAGGAGTGGAGGGAAAAAGAGCGGAAAAAAGAAGTCTAGACTTCTGCTGAGAGCAAAGCTCTGCGCCCGCGCTGCGCGGCGGTGACGACATTCTTCCGCGCCCGAAGCCGAGCGTTGTCAGCGCGGGGTGGCGGGCGCCTGCGCAGTGGCTCCGAGCGGGCGGTTGCTTGTTGGTTGTTGTAGTAACGGGGGAAGCAGCCGTCGGCGGCGGCGGTGAGCCCGGCTGGGGAAGGAGGAGGGAGGTAGGCGCAGAGCGCGGTCCCCGCCGGCCCGCCCGAAGCCATGGGAAGATGAGACAGGTAAACGCCTGCGCCGGCGCGCTCCCCTACGCGAGGGAGGGTGAGCTCCTGTGTCTGGGCGGGCGCCGGCCGCTACACTTCCCTCTCGGAGTCCGGGAGTAGCTGTTGGCTTCCGGGCGCGCTGGGCTGAATCGCTGCTGCGGAGTGGTCCCTGTCCTTTACTTGGGGAGCATCTGAGGACCTACCTGGGATTGGGGTGAGCCGGGGGTGGGGCCTAGGGGCTGATCCCTTTAGGGCGAGGACGCTTCTTGGGCGAGTGTCCTTAATCTTCTTCCGATCTCCGTGTCTAGCAGCCTGGGACAGGTTTGGCATCTCTTCCTCGCTTGGAGGTTTTGCTTGTTTTGTTTTAATTTAAAGGACTTCCCAACATTTTGGGACAGATCGAGAAATCCCGTTGGGAATCCTCGGAAGAACGCCTTTGAAGTTATTAGATATTGCCCATTCCTTTGAAGCTCTGTAGGGATCATTATCGGGATCGGCGGTTTTTTGTCCTGTGTACGATCTTACATATTTTGAATGCACAGCAAAATAAGATTTGCAAAGATAGACATCAGATGGTTATCTCTGAGTAATAGGATTATTGTCATTTAAACATGTTCATTTTCTTTATCGGTAATTTCGATTTCATCCTTAAACACACAACAGACTTGTACTTTTTACATATGCAAAAATATTTTAAGTTAGAAATATCCCAATTTTAATGCCTATTTGAGATTCAAATCATAATTTGTGATTTTTAGTAAGGGAGAATAATTTCTGAGAGTGGAAGGACAGTGTTTTTCTTTCTTTTTTTTTTTCAGCTATTTATCACCTTGATTCAGGAGAATATAGTAATCTTTTAGCTTAGTGGTTGAATTTGTTTTAGTGAAATATGAAGGCATTTCAGCTGTGTGCTTGTCCTAGTGCCTAAAGAAATATTTTCAGGAGTCGTAAATCTTGAGTTTTTATTTTTAACCCAGGTCAAGCCTTTATAGCGAGGAGTCTATGTTTTAGTCAATCAGCCACCTACCTCAGACTTCCCAGAAGCTAATTCTTGTTAGGTTTAGTGTATAAAAGAAAAATGAGAAGCTCAAACTTAATAACAGCTCTGTAAGTACATGGAGGACAGACAGTATGTTTGAAAAAAACCTTGATTTTTGTGGTGTGAGGCACTGTGATAGAAGGTAAGCTTCTAGACGTTGGACACCATTTAGGTAAACATTCATATTTGTTACTTGGAAAATCAATAGCAATAATCAACAAATAGAAAATGCCATTGTGTTTCAAATCATTTGGCTTTCTTGCAGGAATCAGTGCCACCTAAATTGTTTGATCCAGTGAATCTGCAAGGAAAGGTCTCTGAGGCCACCGTCTGCTGACTGCATGACAAACCCTAAAGGAAATGCCAGTCGTGATGGCCCGGGACCTGGAAGAAACAGCATCATCCTCAGAGGATGAGGAGGTGGTAAGCCAAGAGTAAGTAAGAGCGAGCCTGCTTTTGACTTTTTGCCTTTAGTGTAGAAAATAATTCTCTTTTACTTATACCTTCTTTTACGCACTCCTTCCTTTGGTGCAGTCTGACTCTGGTTTTAGTTTCTATCCATGATCTAATCCAAGATTTTATGAATTGGTCACCTTCAGCTATCTGAAATGAGAGAAGGCTCTGTTTCTGAGCTCATGAGTGAACATTGGCTCTAGATACTGCTTTGTGAACTCTTGATTGGCGCTCCTAACATAGGAGATTTTTAAATTTGTAGATATTAAAGCCAAGGAGATCTCCAAACTCTATGAGATAGGTTATGTTATTTTCTCAAAAGCCTTTACAATGATAGAATGATAGTATATAGAGAGGTCAAGTAACTTACCAGAGTAACTGTGGGACAGTACATTAGAATTCTTTAACCTGTGCTGTGCCATTGAACCACATTGCTTTCCTGGGTTGTTTTAGTAAGAGTCAAGTTTCTTGATTTCTGGATTCTCATAACAATAAAAATGAACAGTGGTAATAAGTACAGCTTATCATTTAGCATAGATGATGGTAAGGGCTTTAACTTGATGTAGCTCATTTAATCTGAAAATGTTATTCTCACTTTAGTAAGCTCAGCCTCACAAAGATCAAAGAACTTTTTTAGAGACTCAGAGATAGTAAGTGATGGATTGAGATTCAGACCTAGTTTTCATGGATTTTGAGGCACTTTACTATTTTGCCTCCTTTAACACTACTACTTGACACAGAGAACAAAGAGAGAGTCTGACTTAAAGTTAAGATTAGTTTTTAAGATTCTCTGTGAGTCCCCTTGGATATGTGTGTGCAATGTAACCTGAAAAGTGGGGATAGTATCTCCCAGGCTGTTCTGTAGGGGTATGGTTAGGATCAAAAGAATGGTAAGTATGAAATTACTTTATAAATGATGAAGTACCATACAAATGTTAAGGCATTATTCTTACTGGCTTTAATATTGAATTTAAAGTGCATTTCTTATTATAAAGTAGAAGATTACATTATTTAATGTAACTAGAAAAAATTACTGAAGCATTCATAAAGCTTTGGGAAGGGCTTCTCATCACTCTTAGGTCATAGAAAATAAAAGATTTGACATTATATTTGGGTCAGTCTTATTCAGGATAATTAAATGGATAATTCCCTCTGGTCACTTTATCTTCTTGTGACTTTTTGCTTTCTGTGTGCTGTGTCTTACCTATTTCACAAAATTTTTAACTTCTGCGAGCATCAGTCTAATTTCAAGATCATTCTTTTACTTCATGACTACGTATTAGTGGGCTTATGAGTTGGGTCTGATGAGTATTAGGTTGAACTCTATGAAATTGCTGTTTTAGTAGGTTAAAAATAGTCAAATATTGACAATTTCAGATTTTCAACCTAATATTGCAGTGGGTACTTGGTAAATACTTGCCAACTGAGTGACCAACTGAATGAATGAATAAATGGAGACTTTATGCTTTAGATCACCTTAGAGCAGGGGTTCTTAACTATTTTTATGCCATATATTCCTTATCAGAATAATATTTTTAGGTGCTTAAAATACGTATCATTGCGAATAGTACCAATTACATTGAAACACAGTTATTAAGATTTAAAAAACCCCACACTTGTGATATAGTAATATGTGCTTTTAATTAGTGTATTAAACCACAAGATTATTCATCTAAAGCATGGGAAAGTTAAATTTTATTTTCTAAAGGCAGCAGCATGAAGAGTGTTTTTGCTGTTTGCATAAACTCATCACCCTGTGGGGTAGTCTTTTTTTTTTGCTTTTAAGATTTATCTATCCATTTTAAAGAAAGGGGGGAGCGGAGGGAGAGGGAGAGAGAGTCTCAAGCAGATGAGACTATGCTGAGTGCGGAGCCTGACTCGGGACTCAATCTTACCACCCTGAGACCACTACTTGAGTCGAAACCAAGAGTTGGACGCTCAACCGACTGTGCCACCCAGGCGCCCCGACCCTGTGGGGGTAGTCTCTGATTAGCACTTATAAGTGTGGAATATTGGGAAGCATCATAGGTGTCTGGACCACCACTTGGCATTCACCATTTGGCTGCTGAATGATTGCTTAGGAGGAGAGCTGCCAAATTGTTGTCCAGCCTCATCACGCCAGATGAAGATTGTGACCACAGATGATCTAGTGGCAAGTTTAATAGCTACCATTAACTTAGAAGTAGTGGTAAATGTAAATGATATTTTGAGATATCTGCAACAACTGTAATATGGTGTAAAAAAATCTGTAGTTTCAGACAGACTCAAAAGCACAGATAATGCGTTGTTGCCTATATTCATAATTGAGAAATGGCTAAATTTCTAGTAGAAGTTACTGAACTTACAGGTGTAATTCCCTACTCCAATCCAAACTCATGGATTTTTTTGCCCTTCCTTTCAGACTCCTGTTGACTTTTGACTGTTAATGTTCCATCGGCTCCTGTCTTGTCTATCAGACACTTAGTATATACATTAGTAATCTTAAGTCTATCTTGTTTACACTTGGAGTAATATGCTTACATTTTTAAAGTTTTGGAAGTTATAAGGCCTTAAATCATCTAAGGATGTTGATGTGATCCAAAGATGTATATCCATGGGCATCTGCTAGATCTGCTCAGATCCCAAGGCTGTATTCAAGTGTTAATGCCCGGCAATCCTGGACTTCAGGGCTAGAAACTGTCCAGGAAATCCTTGTTTTGCACTGCATTATTTCAAATACTAAATTTAAAAGGGCTCTTTTTCTATATTTTGCTAGTGGATCCCAAATACAAATTTATATATAGATGTGGAAAGATTTGATACAAGGTTTATTCAGGCCCTAAAAAAATAATTTCAATTCCTATCATAAATGTCAGCTTTATAGCAGTTCATGAACATATACATGGGGAAAAAAAGGTAATCAACAAATGATTATACAGTGAGCACTACAGGAGTTCAGAGACGGAAGGCATCATCACTGTGGGCTGGAGGAGCTGGGGGAAGGCTCCATGGGGGTGGTGAGATGTCCTGGGCCTAAGTGTGGGATCAAATGGACGGAAGTGGGGAAAGCATTTCCAGCAGGGGCATTGGTATGAATTAGGCCTTGAAGCTTTGAGTTATGTAGGCTAGGTCCCAGGAGTGAATAATATATATATGCCTCATGAAATTGCTTCTTAAGAACCAAAATGTTGTTAGGCTTTCATTAAAGTGAACCTTAAAACTGTTCTACTTTCGTAATCAAGCATCCAAGTCTTGAGTTCGTTCACGCCTATAAGAGCGTATTTTTAAAAATAATATACCAGTTTCTGGTGTGAATGAAAATTTAAAGTCCCAATTTTCAGTTTCCGCACCATTTTGAATCTTTTGCCTTTAGCACCCCCTGGTGGGAGCATGCTTTTAATGACAATGTAGCATCTGCCTTAAGTGTGTTTTAGTTGACCATACTGAATTCATAATGTGTCTACCACCTCTTTTATCTTTTCATAGGTTGTAGGTGGAAGGATTTCTCTGGCAGGGATTTGGCTTTCCACAAATAGCATAGCTAGGGCCTTGGCTCTTCTCAGCCGTATATCTGTTTATTGTGTTCCTGACCCTTATCAGGCGTTTTAACTTGTAAGCAGTAATCCATTGTTTGTAAGTGGGAAGGCACAGTGGTGCCAGTTTGTAGCTAGTGCTAGATTGACAAGGAACTTGGGATAATTTCCAGAGTTTCTGTCCAAGACTTTACAGTTTAGGCTGCCTATTTTTTCTCTACCCTCTGACCTAGAAATATAGTGGGAAAATTATAGTTGGAAAAGATCCTAGGAGTTTTCTGGACCCCTGCCCACATTTTACAGGTGTTTAAGATTAAAAAGCAAGCAAACCATGAAAAAATATCCTTCTTGCTAGAAAGTGCCCCTGATGAATACCTTTTCTCACAAATGGGCACCCTTACCCACGTCAAAAAGCAGGAACAGTAGTAAGCATCCACATTCCAGTTCTAGAAAACAGGAAATGAACTAGGTATGGTGTTCTTTGCTTTTCCTCACTAAAACACTTCGGCAGCTCATCCCAAGTCTCAAGGCTGCCTCACTTCTCAGATTGGTAGCCTGGAAGCCTGTGCATTCAAAACGGGGATCTTTTTAAACTTGGGTTGAGGGGGTCTCACCAGGCCCTGAGATTGGTAGTATGACCTTTTTTTAAGGGATGTGGTCATGTGAGTTTTTGAGAGCAGCCCAAATTTTGGCTAACTGGATCTTATTCTGTTTAAAGAATTGATTAGGGGCGCCTGGGTGGTTCAGATGGTTGGGCGTCTGCCTTCGGCTCAGGTCATGATCCCAGGGTCCTGGGATCGAGTCCCGCATCGGGCTCCCTGCTCGGCAGGGAGTCTGCTTCTCCCTCTGCCTCTCTCTCTCTGTGTCTCATGAATAAATAAATAAAAATCTTTAAAAAAAAAAGAAAAAAAAATAAAGAATTGATTAGTATAGGTTCCCAAAGGGTTGGGTTTAAGGTGTTCTGTATACAAAACATCACTGAAATGTGATTAGGGAGATGGAAGAGTAGAAAGAGCGCAGGCAGGCACTTGGGTTCAGATACCTGTTCCCTTACTTAACCAGATCTATGATCTTGAGCGAATCACTTATCCTCTCTGAGACACCTTTTTTTTTAGTTCATAGTGTGGGCAAGAGGATTAAGTGAGATAACACGTGAAAGCTCTTACTTTAATTCCTGGCACATAGTAGGGTCTCAGGTCGTCTCTTTCCCTTCTGACTCCTTGGCACTAAGGAGGTTGAAGATTTTCCTAATCTGTGAGTAAGTACACATCTGTCTAAGATTGATTAAACAGAGATTTCCTGAGGGTAGGGTAAGAGAGTAAAGTCAGAGGTCCTTTTCTGGAGAAAAATTGTTCCATTTAGTATAGGCTTGCTTTAAAATATGTGGTTTTAATTGGAGCACTTGTATTAACTTGTATTAATTTTGGGTTCCTAGCTCAGAATCTTAGGATGGGTTATCAAATTGGCTTAAAAAGGGACGATGGGGTGTAAAAGGGTGTATAAATTATTGTGAATGTGATATATTAGTTAGGATTCTTTATGTTTGCTGGGGGTTAAAACATAACTTGTCCTAAATAATAAAGGGAATTTAAAATTTTTTTTTTAAAGATTTTATTTATTTATTTGAGAGAGAGACAATGAGAGACAGAGAGCACGAGAGGGAAGGGGGTCAGAGGGAGAAGCAGACCCCCCGCTGAGCAGGGAGCCCGATGCGGGACTCGATCCCAGGACTCCAGGATCATGACTTGAGCCGAAGGCAGTCGCTTAACCAACTGAGCCACCCAGGCGCCCGAATTTTAAATTTTATTTTAAAGATTTTTTTCCCACTGTCCCCCATAAAGGGAATTTATTAACTCCTATTTAGGAAAGGCTTGATTCTGCAACTCCACATTTGCCTCTCAGGATCTCATTTTTCTCATTCTTCCAGTGGGGTTCCCACTGACTTCCTCCTTTACCTGTAGTTCCAGGCTTTCCTTTCAAGGTCACAAAATGACAGTTGAACTTACATACCTCATTCTCTTATACCATCCAGGGGAAGAGGCCATCTCTCCTGTCGCTGCTATAGAAGAGAAAGAAAGCACCTCTTTCTCAGAGGGTCTCACAACATATCTTCTGACACTCACTGGCTACATTGCTCATTCCTGATCCACCAACTAGAACTGAGGGGTGGAAGGCCCCGATTGGCTGAGGCCAATCAAAGCCCATCCCTGCAGCAGGGATGGAGTTAATCTTAACTAGACCCCATGACTAAGCATGGGAGCTGAATGGTTTCCCATGGGGCATTTGGGATTCTTGTTCTAGGAGGAGGGAAAGTTGCTAAGTGGCAAACCACAGTGATCTGCTTCAGTCTTAATTCAGATTCTGAGCTGTCAATTAATAAAAGCCTTTTGTTACAGCTGTAGGGATCATCCGTGTATCATGTGGACTGGAGGCTGCCGGAGAATTCCAGTTTTGGTGTTCCATGCTGAGGCTATTCTGACAAAGGACAACAATATTCGAGTAATTGGAGGTAGGTGTGGCCTCCCCCATGGCGGGCAGGTCTGGGCATGGCCCCGGTAACCTCGTCTTACAGAAGTTGATATCACATGTAAATAGGAAAAGGGCCTTGGTCATGAGAAAAATCTCATGATTTTTTTTTATACTTCAGGACTATTTGGAATTTCTTAAATTTTTTGCATCTTAAATTGCTTTTCTTTTTTGAATTTTTTCCTTCAGAATTATGTGTGCATGTGTTACTGTTATTTTTTATGATGAAAGACAACAAAATGTACCCTTTTAAACATTTTAGAGTGTATACCTAAGTGGAATTTAGTACAAGTCACAGTGTTGTACAATCCACAGCACTGTCTAGTTCCAGAACGTTTTCATCATCCTAAAATAAACCCTATTTCCATTAAGCAGTTACTCCCTATGAGCCCTTACCCCAGCTCATAGTAACTGCTCATCTACTTTCTGTCTCTTTCGATTTGCATGTTCTGGATATTTCATACAAATGTACTCATACAATATGTAGTCTTTTGTGTCTGGCTTTTTTCACTTAGCATAATGTGTTCAAGGTCCATCCATGTTGTAACATATATCAATACTTCGTTCCTTTTCATGGAGTACCATATTTTGTTTATCCATTCACCAGTTGATTGATCGGTTGCTGTTTGTTTCCACCTTTTGGCTATTGTGAATAGTGCTGCTCTGAAGATTCACATACAAGGTTTTGTTTGAACACCTGTTTTTAATTCTTTTGGGTCTCTACTTAGGAATGGAATTGCTAGGTCTTTTGGTAATTCTATGTTTAGCTTATTACAGACCTGCCAAGGGATAGAATAGTGACTGCACAATTCTACATTCCCACCAACAATGTAGGAGAGTTCCATTTTCTCCACATCCTCACTGACATTTGTTATTTTCTGTTCTTTAGATTATATCTCTGCTAGTGGGTGTGAAGTGGTATCTTATTGTGATTTCGATGTTCATTTCCCTAATGACTGATGACATTGAGCATCTTTTCATGTGCTTCTTGGTTATTTGTATATCTTCTTTAGAGAAATGTCTAGTCAAAGCCTTTGCCTATTTTTTTTTTTTTTAAAGATTTTATTTATTTATTTGACAGAGAGATAGCGAGAGCAGGAACACAAGCAGGGGGAGTGGGAGAGAGAGAAGCAGGCTTCCCGCCGAGCAGGGAGCCCGATGTGGGACTCGATCCCAGGACCCTGGGATCATGACCTGAGCCGAAGGCAGACGCTTAACGACTGAGCCACCCAGGCGCCCCTATTTTTTTTTTTTTTAATAGGCTCCACATCCCCAGCATGGAGCCCAATGCAGGTTTGAATTCATGATCCTGAGATCAAGACCTGAGTGAGCTAAGATCAAGAGTCGGACGCTTAACTAGCTGAGCCACCCAGGCACCCTGCCTTTATCTGTTTTTGAGTTGGGTTGTTTGACTTTTTGTTGTTGAGGTCGAAGAGTTCTTTATGCATTCTAGATACTAGACTCTTATCAGATATATGATTTCCAAATTCTTTTTCCTATTCTCTGGTTTGTCTTTTTACTCTCTTGATAGTGTTTTCTCATAAGCAAAAGTTTTTCATTTTGATGACTTGCAGTTTATTTCTTCTTTTATTGCTTATGCTTTTGGTGTCATATCTAAGGAACCATTGCCTAATCTAAGGTCATAATCCTTATGCTTTCTGCTAAGTTTTATAGGTTAAGTGCTTACATTTAGAGCTAAATGGTCTTTGATCCATTTTGAGTTAATTTTTTTATATAGTGTGAGGGTAAGGGTCCACCTTCATTCTTTTGCATGTGAATATCCAATTGTCCTGGCATGATTAGTTGGAGACACTATTCTTTCCCTATTGAATAGTCTTGGTGCTGTCATTGGAAATCAGTTGACTTGGATGTATGGTTTTATTTCTAGATTCTTTTTTTTTTTTTAATTTTTATTTATTTATTTGACAGAGGGAGAGACAGCGAGAGAGGGAACACAAGCAGGGGGAGTGGGAGAGGGAGAAGCAGGCTTCCCGTTGAGCAGGGAGCCCAATACGGGGCTTGATCCCAGGACCCTGAGATCATGACCCAAGCCAAAGGCAGACGCTTAATGACTGAGCCACCCAGGTGCCCCTTTATTTCTAGACTCTTAATATCCCATTTATCTTTATGTTTATCTTTATATCAGTGCCACATTGTTTTGATTACTATACCTTTGTACTAAGTTTTAAAATTGGGTTGTTGAGTCCTTTAACTTTATTCTCCTTTATCAAGATTTTTTTGGCTATTTAGGATCCCTTGCAATTCCATATGAATTTTGGGATCAGCTTTTTCATTTGTGCAAAGAGGGTGTTGGGCTTGTGATGGGGAGTATATTGCTGTCTTAGTATTAAGTCTTCCAGTCTGTAAACATGGGATGTTTTGTCATTTATTTAGATCATCTTTAATTTTTTTAGCAATGTTTTGTAGTTTTCAGTGTGTAAGTTTTAGAGTTCCTTGGTTAACTTTATTCCTAATTATTTTATTCTATTTGATGCTACCATAAATGGAATTGTTTTTTCAATTTCATTTTTGAGTTATTCATTGCCAGTGTGCATAAATACAGCTGATTTTTATATGTTGATCTTGGATCCTGAAACCTTGCTGAACTCATTTATTAGCTTTAATAGTTTGTGTGTGTGTGTGTGTGTATTCTTTAGCATTGTCTATATATAAGATCATGTCATCTGCATGTAGAGATTTTACTTCTTCCTTTCCAACCTGGATGCCTTTTATTTCTTTTTCTTACCTAATTGCTCTGGCTAGAACTTCCAGTACAATGTCAAATAGAAGTGGTAAAAGTGGGCATCTTTCTCTTTCTTGTTTCTGATCTTAGAGGGAAAGCTTTCAGTCTTTCACTGCTCAGTATGATGTTAGCTGTGGGTTTCATAATGCCCTTTATCATGTTCAGGAAGTTTCCTTCTATTCCTTTGGTGTTTTTATCATGCAAGGGTGTTGGATTTTGTTAAATGCTTTGTCTGCATTTGTTGAGATTTTTTTTCTTCATTCTATTAATGTGGTATATTACACTGATTGACTTGTATGTTGAACCATACTTGCATTCCTGAGATAAATCCCACTTGGTCATGGTATAATCCTTTTAATATGCTGCTTGATTTGGTTTGCTGTTATTTTTTTGAGGGTATTTGCATCTGTACTCATAAGGGATTTTGATCTGTAGTTTTCTTGTGATGTCTTTATCTGGATTTGGTATCAGACTAATGCTGGCCTTATATAATGTGTTCCCTCCTCTTCTTTGGAAGAGTTTGAGAAGGATTGGTGTTAATTCTTTAACTGTTTGATAGAATTCACCAGTGAATCCATGTAGTCTGGGCTTTTCTTTATTGGGAGGTTTTTGATTACTGATTCAACTTCTACTTGTTGTATGTCTATTCATATTTTGTATTTTGTATTGACACAATTTTGGTAATTTGTGTGTTTTTAGTTTTTGTCCATTTAGTTTATCTAATTTCTTGGCATATAATTATTTTTAGTATTCTTTTATTTATTTGTTTTTCATAGTATTCTTATGTAATCCTTTTTATTTCTGTAAGGTCAGTAGTAATGTCCCGTTTCATTTCTCATTTTAGTAATTTGAATCTTTTCTCCTTTTTTCTTAGTCTAACTAAAGGTTTGTCAATTTTGATCATTTTAAAGAGCCAACTTCTAATTTTGCTTATTTTTTCTATTGTTTTTTATCCTCAATTTCATTTATCTCTAATCTTCTGTGATATTAAGCAGTGCTCTGAATTCTAGGTTAGCCTGTAGCTATCTTCAGAGGTTACAGTACCATGGATCTGAACTGCTGTGTGATATAGTGGAAAGAGTCTATACGTGGTTTCTCAGTCATTGGTTCAAATCCCAGCTTTGGCATTTACTAGCTGTGAGTCTGGGGCAAATCATTTAAACTCTCTCAACCTGTTTTAGTATTAGTTAGGTGGAGATAATAGCTATTTTGCAGGCATTGTAAGAATTAATGAGATCATTTAATATTTGGCATATAGTGGGCACTCAAAATTTGTGCTATTTACTCTACTTGTTGAATAGGATCTGTTCTACTGTGAAATGACTTTAAGGTCTGTTCTTGCCCCATAATAAGGCAGGAGTTCAGAGGACAGTCAACACCTGCTTCTGGGATTTGAATCCTTCCTCCCCAAGGGTTGTGTTCTAATCCCCTCAGCAAGTTGCTAGGTTACTACTTAAAGGGATATGGTTCATTCATGTTCTCTGAATTTGGAGGAACTGAAGATTTGCTAACATTTGCAAAGAAACTTCCTCTCAATATAATTGGAGTCAAACATCAAAGGTAGGTAAAAACAACAGAAGTAAATAATCTCCCCCAAACATACTTCTTTTGGTCTGCTTGTCACAAAAATGAATCTCTGTATTCCATGCCAATAAGCAGACTTTTTTAGAGTACCTGACATTTATTAGAAATTAGTATCCATCAGTGTTGTCATCCTGTTGTTCAAGCAGTCCCTGTGTTTTTATTTTTTTATTTTTTAAAGATTTATTTATTTATTTGAGAGAGCGAGAATGAGAGAGAGTACATGAGAAGGGGGGAGGGTCAGAGGGAGAAGCAGGCTCCTCGCTGAGCAGGGAGCCCGATGTGGGACTCGATCCCGGGACTCCAGGATCATGACCTGAGCCGAAGGCAGTTGCTTAACCAACTGAGCCACCCAGGCGCCCAGTCCCTGTGTTTTTAGAACTTGTGTCTTTTTTTTTTCCCTTTACACATTCTTGTGATTAAAGAAAAAGCCGCTGAACTTTTTCTCAAACTTTGTTTTTGAATTTTCTGTACCTTTCTGATTCTTTGAGGTTTCATAATTTTCTAGACCCTCCTTTATGAAAAGAACAATTTTTAAAAAAGATTTACTTACTTATTTTAGAGAGAGAGAGAGTGCAAATAGGGAAGGGCAGAGGTGGAGAGAGAGAGAGAGAGAGAGAGAGAGAGAATCTCCAGCAGACTCCCCACTGAGCACAGAG